TTCTCACCTGGCACTTTTAACTCCATCAATCCTGACACTAAGAATACTTAATCTGTTAATACAGTGTTTTCTGTAATCTAGTCACAGAGTTATGAATTTGCTTAGTAACGAATATACGTATGAATGCATAGCACGAAGTGAACATTTAAAGTAAGGGCTGTGTCTGTCACTCCATAAAAGTTTGGAAATCCTTCAGTCTTTCTGCAGCTGGTTTCTGAAGTAGCGCTCGGCTCCATGGAGGTAATTAGTTAATGTGAAATGCGACCAGTGTGCACCACTGTGGTTAACAATAATAACTACTCCCGGATTGGAAAAACGTCTTGAAATTTACGCTCTCTGTACGTGAATCTGTCCCCTCAAATTATCACTTGGTTGTTATGTACCTAGAAGTTGTGTGTTTTTTCTTAAGTAATTTGTTCAGATATATCTCTTACCCATACAAAAACTCGAGTAACAAGAAACGTGGTATGAGATACAGACAATAAGCCTTGTAATTTGAATAAGCGAAACTACACATTTAACTATATTAAGAAATTGTTGCGATACAAAATTTATGATAAGCAGTAAGTAAATATAAGGCCATTGAGGTTGGTAAAGTCGCACAAATCATATTTGTAAAATACGTGCAGGCCTTGCTCCAAATTGGAGTAGGTTTTTCCACTCTCTGAAATAGCTACACATTTCTTCTAGGCAGCGCCTCTCTAATACGAGTATTAATGCCAGTCATTGAAGTGCGGTTCTCAGTTTCGGAGTTAGGACATTGGCTCCAAAGTACATGGGCCTCAGCGCGCAGTGTATGGATGTTTACTTAAGTTATGTTGAAATTTGAACCCATTATCTTAATCGATTCTTAATATTATTGGGTTACAGGACTTCGTCCCTCATCTGCTTCTTCGAACAACACAGTGTTTCGGCAGGTGGGTTTATTTCTGTCCTCAGGTGACAGGGCCGGGCGAAATGTACTCAGTTGAGTTCGATAGAAAGGGTCACTTGCCGTTAATGATCCTGCTCTTTTGGGGTCATTAGAAAGCGCTAATCTCGGTCATTGAAATAAGAATTAATTTCCGAAATATATGTTCTGTTCGAAATATGCGATAACGAAGTTTAGACACCCAATAATGCTAAATTTAATACAGGCCTACCCTCGTCAGAGCCATTTAGATTTGATTAATTGATCCAGTTTAGAATTGTGGCGGTATGGTTCTTTCCGTTTTGATCAGAATAGGCTAATTAGGAACAAAATGGAGCAATATGCCACTTCCGTATCTTGACTAGCAATAGTAATGTGTATTAAGATTCCTGTAACCGAATCTTAAAATTGTAGCGTAATTAAGCCTGCTGCAGTTTGAAATAAAATTATCTGTATACAAACCTGAAAATTGAAGCTTTCACTCTCTACTGTACACGTAGTTACAAAAAATAATTTCCGTATATCAGATGTTACGTTGAATTGACCCACGTAAGTGGTGATGTCGTGAATGGAGTTCATGGAGGTAGGCCTAGGCCCACTGGGGCTGTAGTGCCAAGGAAAAAAAAAAGTGGTCATGTAACGAAGTTATGATAGTCGATAGCAACCAGTAAAAATTTATGCACATCGTGAATTCAGGGAGTCCACTTTGGAGATAGGTTACTCTATGCATTAAATTGGTTTGCATCTTAATAATATGGAATTTGTGTTAATGTTGAATAAATTGGATGAATTTAAGAATTGTAGAGGAATTTCTGGACCCAAAATGCATTGATTAGGATGTCATAAGCGTAAAGTTCGTGTTTTCAATTGTCAGGAGCTTCATATTCCGACTCGCATCTTGACTCTAGCCCCGTTAAAATTGAAACTGTAGGAAATATTACAAAAATGTCCAAAGCTTCCACGAAAAAAAAAAATCTTTAGTGTCAGCTGTGTACACTTAAAAAATGAATAAATGAATGAAACAGTACGTTCTGGGAAGTACTACTTTCCTTTCGCTGTAATTTGAGTATCTGACACGACAAGTAGAAAGAAAACTTTAGTATGTATGTGTATTGAAGCTAGTAGGACAATATAGTTTGGGAGGCTGAAGTGTTGATATTACTAGTAGGAAGAATTTATGATATATGCCTTTAAGATGACCTCAGTTGGCATGACACATACATATCAAGTTTGATGACGATAGGATCAGGAATTCAAGTAATATTAAGGGTACTACCTCAGCAATTTGAGAGGATGTAATGTTGGTAATACTGAATAGAGGGTTATCTTAAGCAGACCTTGAGGTGACCTAAGGTTGCATTATATATACATACTAAGTCTCATAACGATCGGTTCAGGCATTCGAGTAATATTAAGGTTATCCCTTCAACAAATTGATGTGTTGCAGTGTTGGTATTACTGATATGAGGGATTTATTATTACGCCGTTGAAATTGCTTCATGCGGCATGATGTACGTACATACCAAGTTTCATGAAGATTCGTATAGGCGTTCAAGCAGTATTAAGGTTTCGCCTCAGCAGTTTGAGTTGCTGTAATGTTGGTATTCCCGATGGGTGTGATTTATGATGTACGCCTTTGAAATGGGCTTAGGTGACATGATATACTTGCCAAGTTCCATGACGATCGGTTCAGGTATTTAAGTAACGTTACAGTTATTACCGCAACACTTTCAGAGGCAGTAGTGTTGGTTTTACTGATCGAAGGCATTTATGAAGCACGCCGTTGAGATGGCTTCATGTGGCATCATGATGTTCTTGAAGACTGGTCCAGGCGTGCAAGCAATTCTAAGGTTTTACCTCAGAAATTTGAGAAATTGAAATGTTAATTCTGATGGGAGGGATTTATGAATTGCGCGTTTCAGCTGGGGGTCGGGTGGCAAATGTCATAAAGATTGGTGCAGGCACTCAAAAATTGATAGGCGGAATACACATGCAGACACAGGCTGCAAGGTGATCTCATAGGCCCACTTTTATTTTTTTCAAAATAAGGAAGTTAGGCTATCAATGAGACCGGTGCAAAATGTCTTCCTTATGCCACTTATCACGATACATTATTTACCGTTGGAACTTAGTTCGCTGTTCTTAACTTTTTTTTAATCCTTATTGAGGGAAATCGGACCATCGTAAGCCTTGTACCATTGCTGGACAACACGAAACAACGGTAGCAAACATGCCCCAAGAAGTATTCGAACCCAAGATCCCAGTGATCGAACAACCTAAGACCACGCTGTTGCCCCAGTCAGCAAACATGCATACGGTATGACCGTCAGTGAATATAAAGCCCAAGATAAAATTAGTATTATAATCGGTAACATTAGGAGTTTGCAAAGTCGCTACTTCACAATCCATAAGATTAATTGTGTGATATGATATTCTTGTGTCTGCTACAGATACGAAAATGTGTTCTTAGCAAGCATAACTGTATATTAATTTAGGTCATAACTGGAAATCGTAGGTGATTTACATAATAAAATACATAGTCTCCTGTCTGAGGAGTAGCCGACTGGCTTTTCCACGAGCAATGGTAGCCGGAGAATTATGCCAACCACGCCCAATACCAAGGCCGGGGGCTGCTTTCAGCTTTTACCCTCACGCCCCTGTACGCCTTGGTGTGTTGGAACTTTGGCACAGGGGCAGATTTACCGTACAGTATAAAAAAGGACTGCCATGAAGTGGGCTGGGAAATATTATTTTTATTTCATATAAAGTTGTTTTGATTAACGAAAGTGTAGACGTTCGCTTTCTCAAGAAAGGCTCGTATGGATTACGACTAATATTTGTAAATTCAAACCACAGATACCTCGGCATGTTCTCGACATTACGGAAACGTCAGTGCACTCGGCCGTATTTGTAGCTATCCTAGAACCAGCTTAGATGTCACGACGACGGTGCAGTCCACAGTCAAAAGTGGGGTTCGAAGTCACAGAAACGGCAGTTTTTAAATGTTTGTAAAATTATGTCATATCGCATATAATGTTTCGTTTAAGCAATTGTGAAAGAGAGGATCTAGAATTAGATTTGAATCAGTTAGGGAAATGTTAACAGAAGCATGTGAGGGAAGAGTTAAAAACAATTAAAGTATATACGAATATGGCCTCAGAATCAAAAGACAATAGCAGGAGTGTGGGGGATAGAAAACATATTTTACTTCACAAATACAAGAAATAAATTCCAAGTTAACACAGTAAGTGCATATTTCGAAAATACGATTTTGAGTGTCATGCCTCGTTTTGTAGGACTAATGCCGCTGTGCTTTTATTTCGTTCTCAGAAACAATAATAGCTGTATGTCGTCTAGAGGTAATTCAGGGAGTAGGTGGAAATTGGGAAACGAAACGGGACGTCTGTATATAAAATCAAACGCATAAGGCCGATCGTGGCTACTCTTTCTAGGTTACTGGCTTGACTACCGACGAGACGGAGTTCAATTCCCTCTCTTCTCCACAGCGTCCTGATCGTCTCCGGAGTCTACGGGTCCTGTACAATGGGTACCGGGGGCTGCTTCCCCGAGGGGTAAGTCGGCTAAGCCTGGGGTAACATTACCGTAGCCTATATAACGATTACTGTTTACTCTGATGGAATTAATCTTTGTTCAGATAACGCCATGTCGGCTGAGAAGCTTTAGCATTATAATGACGTTCACTGTGTAAAACATCTCTGTAGTTACAGGGTCATTGACCTCTCACTCATGTAAGGAATTGTTCCTGATGATTAATATTTTTGTTTTTGAAACATGAGCTCGTCATTAACCGAAGCAGAATGCAAGACATGTAAATAATTTCATATTATAATATTAATAAATGAAACATTCGTGCGATTTATCATAATTATGCAGCATAAATGATAAATGTGATAAAGTTTTAAGCAAGTAAAAAAAAGTCATCATTTTGTGTGCCTGTTAACAAAATCCGAAGGCCGTCAGGCGCTTGTAGAACTCTCGGAACCATTCCAGAAGGCTGTGGCTAAGAATTTGGCGCATGCGTTCCGCTCATATCTGCGGGTCTCTGATGTGCAGTAAATACTGCTGCTGCCGGTCGCTCGCCAGAACAAGCCACGTGGTAGTTATTACACCGACAGTCAGGTTGCTCAGTGTGTCAGTGTCCGCTCAGTGTTAACATTGAAACCGCAAGTAGCTGCTGTGCTGGCTGGAAACCGGAAACAGCATCACATGTCGTTCCCATATTTGATGACAAATCGTCACGTACTTATGCCAGCAGCTACCCGAGGTCGTCTGCTGGAAAATACAATATTTTAGGTTATTTCCCGTGCGCTTTGTGTGAACTGTTTCGTTTTCCTTAGTCTTGTTAGTGTTAGTTCATTTCAGTCGTGCTTTCTGTGGTGAATTCAATTTTTAAAATGGAGAGGTGAGTACAGTTCTTAATAATTGTTACTATACTTCAAGTACTGCTGAGGACATGCAAAGAATGTGTGGCTTGTGATTTTTTCGAGCCTTTGATTCAACCAGCTGGAATCAGTTTGCATTCCACGTGGAATTGATGCCGACATTAATTAATTTTTAATGTTGAATAAAAATAAGCATTTTAAAGTAGTACATCCCGTGTATTGCATGTTTCCAGTATTTGGATAATGCGATAGTTACCACGAGGCTTTGTAATTAACGTGAAACTGGTCTTGGAATGTTGAACTTCGCTGTAGTACAGACCTTTGGAAACAACTGAAAGCAATATGATTACTTCTTAGTATTTTCATCTTCCTGTAGGCGTTCAAGATTGTAATCTTTAGTTTATGCGATAACGTAGTTGGTTGAGGCACTATGCTACAAGCCAGAAGGTCGCGGGTTCAAGTCACGATGAAGTCATTGGATTTTTTTTTCTGTTGACCTAATCCTTCCAGCCGAACTATGGCCGTAGGGTCGACCCAGCCTCTAACAGAAATGAGTACCAGGAATATTCTTGGAATATTGTTGGGGGTAAAGGGCGGCCGGCGTGTAAGGCTGACAACCTTGCCGCCATCTATGAACCGATTGTCTAGAAAATGTGGAAAACTCAACATCTCACAACCCTATGGGCCTCCACGGCCTGTTACAGGGATACCTTTATTTACTTTATTTTTTTTATAGAGGTGCTATTATTCAGATCTAAAAATTAATTTGCTGTGTTATGCGTTGGTGTCAGTACCCTTTTACATCAGCTTATAGTTTTCTTGGTGAATTATGAAGAAAGCGCAACTTATAATCTTATATCTTCCATAAATTGACTTAGCGGTAATTACGTCAAATATTTATTGTTGCAGGCGTATAGAGTGAATGACGTTGCATATCATTTTGATACATTATTGGTCAGTCGTGTCATTGCTATAATCCTTCAATACAAAATACAGTATTTTAACAGACTGTGTCATTTAGGCCCAGTCAGTCTGTTACACAACGTCGGATTACATATTGTCTCCACCAGACCAATTTAACTGTATAAACATGGTCTATTTTATTTATATACTTGTAAACGGACTTGCTTTAATGTTTGTGTCTCATCACACAACAAGCGTCTGCATGTATGAATATTTAGTGATAACTACACACAGCGTTGTTTTAAAGTATTCGGAGTAATCACTCTTGCTTCGTCAACTGTTTACAGGCTTGCGGAATACGTATTATGAACCCCCAAAGTCATCGGTGCCGCGGAAAAGTACTGACTTATCGCTTTGTTCCGAGCTGTTTCATTCAAGCCATAATTACTCTGTGTACTGATATCCATTTCAGTGTTCTTTGCGTAGGACGTTTCTAAGTCAGGGAAACGTGTAATACGACTAATTTTGTGTTATTAAATATTCGTGCCAAGCGTCCCCAGATAACGCGAAGCTTGGTGGGCGGATCATGTCTTACGTAGCATCTCGATGCCATGTCATCGCAGTGACAACATTCCGGCCAGGCCTACTTTCGAAGTTGGCTCGTTATTCGGTTATTTTGCAGTGCTGTGTCAAATGCAGCATCAGGGAAAAATGTGGCGATGTTTGAGCGATAGATCTCTGCAAATATGGGTGGTCTTATTTGAAACTATTGCCTTGTCATTTTCCCGATGGAGCTGTGTACAACAACAGTAAACTTGTCAACATTGGCCAGCTCAGACGTAATTCGAGCACAGTTTCCAAAAGTGATGCGGATTCGTCGCTAGTATTTCTTCTCACATTGTTCTCCTATAGATTTGTTTTCGACGCGTCGAATGAGTTGAGATTACATATGACGAATTAAAAGGATTCTATAGCTCAGGAGGTATAGTGCCGGGCTACGGCGTGGACGAACGGCTGTGGGGCCCACGCAGCCACCTGTGGGTGCCAAGGACTCCTTCCAGGGAGTTAAGCGGTATGAAGCTGACCAGTCATTTCCATTTAGTTCCCCGAGGTTAAGCGTTTTGGGGCTGTACCTCCACTCCCCCTTGTTCCTTCACGGCGTAACAGCTCGTTAATTAAGCACAGGTACAACTGTACCATTTTACATTTTTACCAATATGTTTGGACAGTGTGAGCAATTTTCTTCTACCGCATTCACAACACTGAGAAAAGAATACAACCTATGAACTTCCTCGTATAATTTTCCATTCATCAGTTCAGCTCACAAGAGGGTAGTTTTAAAATGCGGTACCTACGCGTAAAATTCATCGTTTTATGTCCCGATTGGAAGGCCAGGTTTCTTCCCTACAAATACATTAGATAAAACAATAGTTGCAGTTATCGTGCTGTGTATATATGCACTCTCGCGCGCACACGCATTTCTGAAACGTATGTTAAAAATTCAACAGGAATGTCTATCATTTGTTGTATAACCTTTCCAGCCCCACACAGTGTGTTAAGTGTGTTAAGACGGACGTTTAACACCATCTGCCACAAACATCGCGCATAGTCATAAATCGTCTCCTTTAAAGGGTGCACATCATTTCAAATAACCACATGAAAATATTAACACTTCTCACAGAATAGACACGATACACTGAAAATACTTCTCGCCATTCGTGATTTACTGCATGACCTACTTTCATGAAACTTTTTAACGCTCGACAGTTTGTTGCTATGGCATTCTGAAATTGTGTAACGACAGTTATAAATCTAACGTATACAAAAGTTTGTGTACGTTACGCATATGTGTAGAATGTATGGAATGTAAACGTGAATGTAGCAGATTGGAAGCAACAATTTGATGCAGTATCTAAGTTTGTTCTTCCTGAATCTTTTATTATGAACCTCATTTTCTTTAAAATCGTTCATTTTCAGTCCAAGTGCCCCAAATGACTTATTAGCTTTGTTTTGATTTTTTCGCCACCGTAGTTACGAGACACGGTGTTACCCAATTCTTTCAACATTTTATTTCTAGATCACTGTTTTTCGTACTTCTGTAGGAATATGTGTTATTTCTGATACGCCAATTTTTGCGTTATGAATTGCTTCCGTAAATCCGAAAGCCGAATGTAATCAGTCCAGTTCAGTATCTTTTGAATCATGATGTACAAGGTATACAGTGCCTATTTGTCTCTTCCTACGTCATTTATATTTATTTATTTATATTTGTGTTGTTCAACAGCAGTGCAGTTCCATAATTCCTGTTGGTAGTTCCAGCAGTTTGCACTTTCATGAGTCACTGGCATTTGTGAATGTTATCTGTGTTGCGTACTTTCCCTGATTCCAAGGTCTTCGATGGAATTAACTTCCGGATCATGTGATTTTTTTTTTCACAATTTCCACCGGACGTATTCTTTGCCATTGTCAATTTTTTTTTTTTGTTGGTATAAAATGTCTTGTAGAAAAATAACAGAATGAAAGTGGTACGCGAGCTGTTTATGTTTAAGATACCGAGCAGGTTTGCTCTAACGATAAGGGCTCTGCCATGTATTCGGAAGATGCCTATCCTGACTAAGGTCTGTCGTAGTTTTCTTCATTCCCTCCAGGCAGATGCCCGGGATCGTACTTTTAAGTTCAGCTACATTCACTTTCTTGTCCTTTCCTAATTTTTACTCACCATCATGCAATCGCTGGACACTCTTTACTCTCAGTTATATGTATTAGGCCGGTATATGAAACAGTGTTTTGATGGTGAAAAAAGGGTAAAGTTATCCCTGTAACAGGCCGTGGAGGCCCATAGTGTTGTCAGACGTCGAGGCTCCCACATCTTTTAGACAATCGGCTCACAGATGACGGTGAGTTTGTCAGCCTTACGCGCCTTACTTTACCCCCAGGAAGATTCCTGTTACTCATTTCTGTTAGTGGCTCAGTAGACCCCCAGGATCATAATGCGGCAGGAAGGATTAGGATAATTGAAAAAATCCAGTAGTTTTTGGAATGCTGCCCGTCTCGCCGTAGGCATGAATTTGCGGTTGTAGCGTCTGAACGGTTGGGTGGATTATCCGTTTTTGATATTCAGGGGTTTATCCTTAATAGGTCGAAGCTCGGTGTATATGGATATGGACATTTAACTCCAAAAATAATGTTCTTCAGATATCCTCCCCCCCAAATGGCTTTTCTCTTGAAAACGGTTCGAACGATTGTGAAGATATGTCAGTAGTTTACGGGGACCATCTCCCTAAATAAAACTGCATGGGTGGTATCTTCAGGAAGATGACTGGGAGATCAGACGGGAAATATGAATTTGTGGAAATCAGGTTTACTGATCGGGCAGATTTCATTGTTCGTTATTCGTTAGCCAAATTTGGTGCACCGAGCAGCAGTCGTATTCGTTTCCAAGGTAACCTGGTCAAGGTCAGTCGTATATGAGAAACTGCAATGTCTACATTGACTTTTACTTCTCTTATACGTGTTATAGGTTTGTATGCGAGTGTGTTGATGTCAAGATTTTGACGAATTTAAACGTTTTCGAAGCCCCCCCCCCGCCCTCGCCGCATATGAAAAGTGGTTTATGGTATGCAGTATATATATATATATGTATGTAATGGACAGACATGCGGCTCGTTAGCTCTTAAACGGTTGGGCAGATTTTATTCAAATTCGGTATACAAGAGTAGACCGTTAGGTCGACGTCCGGTCATACGAGCTCCAAGAATAGCTGACCCTTAAGGTGGAACCCAAAACGAAATGGCGGTTTTGTGGAAAACGGCTGTAACATTTTTGTGTCGTATGTCGGGTGTTCGGTTAACTTGACCACAGCAGTTCCAGGAATAGGGGGCCCTTGAGGTGAACCCCAGAACACAAAATTGAGATTTCTCGGAAACCGTTATAAGATTTTTGGTCAAAGTTCAGTAATTTATTAAGACCGTTTGCCTAAGTTGTACTACAGAGGCGGTATCTTCAGGAAAGTGGCAGCATGCATACTAGAGGCCTAAACGCGAAATTTGGATTTTGTCGAAACATGCTTTACCGATTGGATGGATCCAATTCTTGTCCAGTAATTAGTGGCCGGTCG